GTTGAGATTTTAAAGCCCGGTGATGTCCTTTTCGATGTCTTTGCTGGGATTGGACCTTTTGCAATTCCAGCAGCAAAGAAAAAGTGCCACGTATTTGCAAACGATCTCAATCCTGAATCCTACAAGTGGCTCCTGCACAACTGCAAACTAAACAAAGTAGACAACAAAATAAAAGCATTCAACATGGATGGCAGGGACTTCCTCCTGGGGCCAGTAAGAGAAGAACTAAGTAAAGAGCTCCAACTTCTGAAAGAAGAACAGAAAACCTCTTTGCATATAGTCATGAATTTGCCAGCTTTGGCTATTGAATTTCTAGATGTTTTCAGGCATCTCTTAGCCGGAGAGCCATGCAGCGCTGCTGGCCTTCCCACGGTACACTGCTACGGTTTCTCCAAACACGACGACCCAGCCAAAGATATTCAAGAACGAGCTGAAGCTTCACTGGGAACCTCCTTGGATGGACGCTGCTCTACTTACCTGGTTAGAAATGTCGCACCGAACAAGGAGATGCTGTGCATTAGTTTCCAGATTCCAGCAGATGTGCTGTACAAGAGGCCCTGCCCTGATGAAGGTGAGGAACAAGCCCCCTTCGTGGCACTTGGATTTCAGGCTACACCTTTTGTTGTCTCAGGCTGGTCCCACCTTGTCAGCCCTGTGGGCCACTTCAGCCGTGTGACAGCGATGCTGTACTCCGGCGTGAGTGCGGAGGTGGCCGGCAGGACTGAGCGTCTGCACATGCGCAGCAGCTGCAGGGCTTCATGTGCTCTCAGCAACAGCGCTCCACTCCTCTGATCCCAGCATGAGCCTCCACAGAAAAAATGGTGGACTAGATAGGATCATCCCACAGGCCGTAAAACAGACCTTTATGCCCTAGATTGCCTACTGGGGGAGGATGAGGTATCTAATGCCAAGTACACGTTTCTATTAGCTAAATACTTCAGAACTGGAGCTTCATTTTCACCCAGGGTAGAATGGTGTACTTCCAAGTGACTGGTCCCAGTTCTGACCTTCTCTCTTACGCTTGCACGGACTCAGTTTAGGTCCGGAGTCACTACATCAGCAGAATCAGGTTCAATTTAACTGAGAAATAGATATCCTTAGAGATCTCTAACATTCAATTTGATTTTTGTTTTTTTTATAATTGGTGATTTATTTCTTGTAGAAGCTAGCTGGCTTCAGTGATCTTGGACTTTGCACTACATGACGGGGGGGGGAAGGCTTTCAGTCTGCAGTTACATGAACTGGAGGAAAGGAGGTTTTGATAAAGCTTTAATGCCATGAAACTTATCTTTACACTGTTGTTGGGTAGCACTGAGATGTACGTCAAAATGTAGCTCCATACAGATTTTTTGAAAGTCCTTTTTGGCGTTTGGTAAAGAACCCCACATGACTGCTGTAACAGTTTTCATTTGTGACTGGTAATCCTGATTTTGACTCTCATCTCTTCCTGTTAAATCCCTTAAGTGTTACATGGCTTGTGGTTTAGTTCAATCTGTTTACTGTACATTAAGTAACTTACTTTTTCTAACCTTCTTCCAGCAAAACCAGCCTCTAAACGTCTGCGTACCAGCAAAGATTTTTCTGAAGAAAAGTTACTGAGTTGAAGACTAGAGTTACGGTAACTACCTTAGCAGTTTGCGTAAGGTATACTTAGGTTACCTCTGGTTTACCCCTTGAATTATTTGAAGCATACCTGTGTTATCCATCTCAGGCGCCAAGATGCGTAACGCATGTTTCAGCTTTCCTTTGTGAGCCTTGCTTCCTGAATTTACCTTTTTTTTTAATTGTGGGATCAATAAGCAGATTGAAATTGTTGTTACTACAAAAAAATAAAACTTCACTTTTTTGTAATAAATGTGTTTTGGTACTTTTCTGCTCTTTTCACGCCCCGTGATAGTTCAGTGACACAGACTAGGATAGTTTTTTGCTATGTCATTTTGATACTATGGGGTTTGTGGCGAAAACCAATTTTTATATTTTGTCGGGTCTAGCAAGATGACTTGTATAACCCTTGCATTGGATTCTCTTGGACAAATTTTTTTGGTGTTCAAGAATACTAGGTTACTGTTAGCAGACGCACAAACAAACAGCTCTTGTGTAAGCAAGATAACCTTTCAAAAACTTAACCCAAGATACAAAAAGTCCCAAACAGCCGTGTACACTTGTTCCTAGGCTTTTGAGTAGTAAGTGCTTTTTAACACTGAGATTTAGTTAGGGATTAGTTGACTCCTACCTTAGTGTTTGCCCACCGTTAAAGCAGGAAAGACTGTAATGCCGTTTGCACAGTTGCAGATGACGTACTCGCTTGCGTTGGAGCACTTGACTGAAAACCAGTACCTGGCTGAACAGTCCTCTCGTCTTGAAACTGCGTCCTCCTGCGGCTTTTGTGCCCCTGCCCTCTCCCAGCTCTCCCCCTACCTCCCTGAGTGCTCCTCTGCTGCAGTCCCTGGATGATCTCTCTGACTGGCTGCCTGTGTTCTGCAGGGATTGGAAAAGCCTCTGCCTTTGATTTCCTTTTCTTACCCATCCAAACTATTGTTGGGCAATGTCAACCACAAATAGTTTCTTGGGACAGAGAACTCGGATCACCCTCTCGGTTTCAGATGTTGTCCAAGCTCAGAGCTCACGCCTAGCAACTCAATTACCAGATGTCCGTCCCCCTCCCTGGCTCTGCTGCTGTGGCTCCATCACTGGGGCCGGCGACCTGACATCTTGGCTCTCACCCAGAGAACCACTAAGGCCCGTGGACTTGTTTTCCTCACGCCTCTGTTACAGCCTTTCCCTTGGCTACACAGCCTGTGCTTTTGAGCAAGCCTTCGCAGCTTGGTTACCGCTGGATTGCATTTATCAAACCAGAGGAAAACAGTCATCGTGACTCACTCGTACTATCTTGAAAGCTGCTGTACAGATTACTTCCCTAGTCTGCCACTCCAGCCCCAGCATTCCTCCACTGGCCTTTAAAATGGTATCGCAGCAGCTTTAACCTATTTGTCCTTGCTGTCAAGGACGGGCACATCGTATCCTTTCCCTACCAGTCACTGCTCCTCTAAGAGCAAGTGCTGGACTCTTGCCTCTGGCCTGCGATGCTATCTCTGCTGTCTGTTACATCTTCTAACACCACTGCATGCTTTCCTACCGCTGTCCTGTGGGTTTCCCATAAACATTTGAAAGCTGCTCTTGTTCTTCAGAGCCCTCCATAAACACTGCTTTAGCGATAAGGCCCTCGACCATTCTGGAATGGTGCAGTCACCCTATGATCTACACTAATGCGCCTGTCTGTGCTGCTGGAGACCGTGGGTCCCTTTGTGTGCATTGCCTCACAGTCCAAATTTAGGGCTTCTTGACACTACTGCACTAACAGAAACCTGTCTTTGATCACCCTTTTTGTGTTAAGCAAGTCAAATACATAACTCCAATTTTCAGCATGTGACTATCCCAGGGCAGGGAAGGATTTTAGTTCTTAAAAGTTTTGTTCGCTTAAGGATTAAATGCCATTGTTATTTTAGCAGCACAACTTTAGTTTAGATGCCAGTTAATGCATTGTATGTAGCTATACTGGTAACCAGGGGTTTTTCCACATTTCTGTGCAGTTGCCACTTCTGCGTATAACCCTCCCACATGAAATAGCAAACGCTAGCCAATGTACATGCAAGTTGCATGAGTGTACTTAAATGATACGTATGAATATGCATATGCAGTTCTGCATTCATTAGGGCAATGACCTGAGGCTTTACAAACTGAGTATAAAGCAGATCATTGATGAGGCGTATCTTTACCAGTCTGGGTGAGCCCGGAACAGTACAGACTCCCCCTGGTTGCTGCTACTCCCTCCCAGGGTCCCGAGCTGAGTCTCGGGAGAACCGCCACTATCTTCTATCTGGGAACAGGAGACAGGCTGTCAGGTATCTGTGACAGAGAGAACGAACTCCCGCAGCTTCTGGCTGCTAGGAAAACAATCAGCTAGGCCCCACGGTGGTGGCAGCCATCTACCATGAGTGAGGGAACAGATAACTAAAGGGCATGTCAACTTTCAGGCCTTACAGCCGAAGGGAGAGGAGGAAGGACCCCAGGTGGAACGCAGCACTCGTCTCAGGGCTAGGCTACAACATAAGTGCAAGCGTACGAGTGATTTCTCATGTGCACTGCACAGCCAAGTCCTGCAACACCCGGCCACGGGCTTTCTGTCTAATGCCAGGCCACCTGGCCCTGGCAGGGAGCAGTGCTCTGCAGGCTATCATCTTTTCTACACCTCTGCCTCATGTGTAATGTTACCTGTTGGCAACTATTCTGGGCACAAACAACAGGATTTCAGAGAAAGGGCAATGGAAATTTTGGTGCTTCCCCCCACTTCTGCACCGAGTCTGGAATAGAGCTTTTTCTTCTCTTTATTACAACATAGAAAAAATACGTTCATTTAGTACACTCCTCAGAGCAGTATTCAACAACTGCTAATGGATGACCCATAAAATGCAGTCCAGGCTTTGCTCTAGAGGTGCTCGCTGTCCTGAGCAGTTTCCAGTCTCCTGCAGTTTATAGACACTCATGGCCACATATACACACATCCCGCCACAGAAAGCCTATCTCTGCTGCGATTAGTCTATGTTCCACTACAAGGAGAGGGGAAGGAATATGTCAAAGCAGCAGATCAAGTGGCCAGGGTCATCCCAAAAGCCAGACAAAGGGACGTTCCTGCCAAAAGAAGCTCCTGAACACGTAACAGAAAAGTTGCCAACAGAGCTAAACAGGAAAAAAACAAAACCAGTTTTGACCACTTTAATGACCTAGCCTTGTCTCAAGGCTTCTTAGATTGCTTCTAGAGGAACTCAGTTGAAAGACTTTGAGCTAATGATTTCTTTTCCAGACAAAGGTAAGAACATCAGGACGGATCCTGCACAAGAGTTGTGTCAGCATAGTTCCAGGGTTTCTCATCTCATCCAGCTGGCAGGAGGAAAAACCCACTTGTCTGAACTGGGGAAACTAGTTTTATGGGAAGAAAATGTAGGCTTGAATATTGACACTAAATGTTATAATCAAAATGGCATTTAAATGCTTGTGCAAATAAAACCCTGCAATAAGAGTAAAACCACAAACTTTAATAAAAAAGTCTGGCTTTATTTAAAAAAAATTTACAAGTGTATTTCTTTAAACCTCAAACATACACAGCTGAGTTATTCACATCTTCCATTAGATGTGGCTTATTGCTTCAGCCTCCCTCAGCAAAGTGCCACATGACTAACGAGTTTCCCCCTCCACAAAAATGTATCTACCATTTTACAAAGCTCTCGTGCAGACTTTTTTTTTTTTTTCCCTTTAACACTTAAACACAGCTGGTTTTACACAGAAAAGTGACTGCAGCTTAGCCGTTGTGCAGATGGCAGCAATTTTACCCAACCTTTGCCGGCTTGATTTGTTTCTCACTCCGTTTGGCGTCCCTTGATCACAGGCTGATGCACACTGGCTAACTGGGGTGCCAGAAAAGACCACTGAAAGCATCCTGTAAGGCTCGGTAACAAGCAAGAGAAGAAGTGTAGCCCCCAGCGAGATCCTGTGGAGAGGCAGCTCGTACATGGTTGAGATACCTAAAACAAAGAGAAGCATTTAGAACAGAAATAAACACATGAAACACCTGCATAGTTCACTGTACAGTGAGATTGAGGCTACTTTTTGGGAGGAAGCAAGGAGACACAAGCTGCCTACTGTTAGCCACCTACAAACACATCGGTATAAAACTTCCATTAGTTAAAGCAATGATGATGCTTGCACACCTTCAGACAAGCTGCCCAGCCAGCACACTGAAAAACCCAAGCTCTTTGCAATAGGTTGCACAGGGTGAAGTACACTCCCTGGTTTGTTATTTTCTGTGCTTGCTCTGGGAGAAGGGTTACATTTTCCTCCCTTTGGTAGGTCCTTCTAAGACGATGATGATGACAACACATGTTTCCTGTGCTCCCACAGGAATCAGAGGGTTTCAGCTCTGTCCAGTTAACACTGGGTGCTTCCAAGAGCCGACTGTGCCGGTTGCTTTGATGACAACAGGGCTGAACTCTGCTCTTGGACCTATCTGTATCTGGTGTAAGTCCACTGACACCAGGGAATTAGATCTGTAGGAGGCTATCATCAACCTTTTGGCTAAAGAAGCCTCTAAACTTCCCCATTAATTAAGCATCATCACCCATTTGCAGAGCCATCTAATTTTACACCAAACCAGCCAGACCGATGAGTTGACATTGAAACACACTACCTACGCTGGCACTGCCGCAAGCTCTTGGCTCCCCTTAGCTCCTTCTGAGGGCTCAGACCCAGCCGTGCACGCTGAAAGCTCCCATTAAAGGTGTCTGCTCAGGGGGGCTTGAATGGTTTCATTCAATGCTGTAACCCTATTTTTGCACCCCACACAGGACATACAAGACCAGATTCTCAGCTAGTTTTGCACCAAAACCCCATCAAATACAAAGACACAGACATAGGCTGTAGCCTAGCACGATCAGCACAACGACCATCTCAAATTCTGAACACCAGATAAAACACCGTAAATGAGAACTGCTTTTCACAGCGGCCATGTAAGCCACTGAGCTTCAGCTAGCTGTTTTGATTCATCGCTTGGTACATGTTGCTCCTGGGAAGGTTGAGTCATTCCACCTCTGGCTTGGCAATTCAAGCATAAACTTGCAAAACGCATACAGCCTTTTATAACGTTATCCCGAGAAACCTAAAACAGCTGCACTTTTGGCAGGAAAATACAGGACCACCAGTAAAATATCCAAAACAGTTGCATCTTTTAATTTATGACTGTACACTGTTTCCATAAAGAGTATATAAAACAGGTCAGATTTTATAGGTAAGACATAATAAACAGTCATACCCATTGATGCCATAAATGCATAGAAAAAGAGGTTACTTAGAAATGATTAATTACAGTTTTAAAACTGTATTTCTTGCACCTAGTAACCACAATGCACAGAAATAAGCAATATTTCTCAGTGATTGTTGGTGAGATGCTAAAGTTAAAAAATTGAATTTGCCTCCTGTGGCCGAGTTCAGGTGAGCTCTGCCGCTTTGTACCAACTTGCGACAGAGTTTGGTCCTCACTGCTGGACACTGGTTCTCACCAGCACAGGCACAGACGTTAGGGCACAAACCCTTTCAATAGAGTTTAGTCCAAAGCAAATCTACAAACACAGCAGCAAACCTGGTCCCGTGTCTTAGTCTGCAAGGGAAGATGGTCTGTAGAGAGCTCCTGTTTTGTGGGAGAATGCATTTAATAGATTTTTTTTTTTTTAAACATTCTTGTTACTTGTTCCTTAATATTTTAGAAGGAAAATCTCATCCTTCCCAAAGGCCTTTTACAACTGCTGTGGGAAACAGGAGCTCCTTCCCCCAGCCAAGAATGATGAAGGGATACTGACAACAACAAATTTCCTTCAAAATGCCAGTGTGAAACTACCTCCACCCTCCGAACCCGAGAGTCTTACAAAAATCAATTCCCATCTCGGATTTCACTTCCATCATGTTTATCTCATTGCACAAACTTCATTTTCCACTCATGCATGGAACAGTCCAGAGAAAACGGGATTACTTTACACTTCTACACTAACAAAGGTTGGTTGTGTGTTTTTCATTACTTATCTTTTGTTACTTATGTATCACTAAAAGGAGAGAGGGAGAATCTATTGTTTCCCTTTTTTTTTAGGTCATCTGAAATTGGGGCATTAGTTTCATAAGAGGGCCTGATTTACAGCTATTACAGCATTTATAGTTAATTGGTATGTGATCGCTGAAGCAATACAAAATCATTGCCAAAAAGGCTCAGATCAACTTTTACTACGGCAACCTCCGTCAATTCTCCTTACTCCTGTGAAACAAGCACGACACGCTCCGGCTGGTCAAGTGAGGTCTTTATTTTCCTGTTAAGTATCTAAACTTACTGCTCTTGACCCATTTAATTACTGTGGTATACCAGGCAATTGCAAAGAATCTGCCGCGCTGAAGCCACACAATGAGAAGTGAACGTTTCGCTGGCTTTTCCACACCAATCCCCATCTGTGCTGCCTGAATCCGGCTGTACCCTTCGCAGGAGAATCTCTCTGAACTGGATTCCTGGGGTTTCTGGCAGAGGTCAGCACATCTTTTCATGTACACCTTTACAACAGCAGCAGGAAGAAGCGCTTGCCAAGTTTTATTTCCAAAAAGTCAAGCTCCGTTAGGTCTGGGGACCTGGAGGTAATTGCTCTCACTAGTTAGCAAATTCCAGCACACTAGGTCTGTTTTTCATAGGTTTATTTTAAGTACCTGTAAATCTTATAAGCAGAAACCAGGAAAAAGAGGTTTGCTTTTTCTGGTGCACAGTTTTTTAATGTAACTTGTTTTTACTGAGGGCAGACTAAACTCTGAAGTTAAAAAAAGCCTGTGCTATTATTTTTGAGCGAGGCCAAAGGGCTGTGTGTTCTCTGCCCCACGGTTTCACACTTCCCATTCACCGTAATGCCTACACTCCGCTTCAGGCCCTGCCCAAACAAGTCCCCTTTCCTTCGCTGCAGCCATTGGATGTTGATCTTCCCCATTAACCTTTCACGTCAGTTAAAACACATCGTATTTTGTTCTTCATGAGCCTTCAGGGGGCTCATTCCTGACCTTTAGTTTCTCATCAGCATGGGGGGGGGGGGGGGGAGCCC